TTCACTGACCTTATCAGACCCAAAAGCTACAACTCTTGTTGCATAGGTCCTCCTTTACCTTGGTCTTAACCATCCAGCAGAAAAGTATAAAAACGAAATATAAGAAGTAAAGCCATGCTGTTATGTTGAGCTTTAGGGGACTCAGGTCAGCAATTTCTGACATTGCCAGTGAAGCGGAAGCCCCAATACTATTATGGGCTACTGGACTCTTTTAGAATATTTTGCTGAGTTTATACACCTATAATATTCAAATAATGGAACTTAAAAAAGGGTATACAGATGAATGTCCGTTTTGTATCTATGTATTGAAAGTGGTTAGGATACATATATAGTTACATTCTCTTAATGAATAGAGTGATTTTTTCTAATGGTGTTTGTAAATAGTATATCATGTCTGCATCTTGTATAGCAATTAACCACTAGGAAGAATGTATGCAATGTGTTAATTATTGAAACTGTCCTACCAATTTGATTTGAAACTATCTCATTGCTATTTATTTATCAATAAAATTATGGGAAAAAAAACTATAAAGTGTAATAATTATTTACTTAGCAGCTTACATTGTATTAGGTATTAAGCTACCTAGGAATAATTTTAAATATATAGGAGGAAATATAGGCTATGTGCAAATATAGTCCCATGTTATCTAAAAGCCTGGAATATGGGCATATTTTAATTTGTGTAAGAAGGCCAGAACCAATCCCCTTAGGAAACAAAAAAAAAAAAAAAATGATTGTGCTTGCTACTGAAATAAAGCAAAGAGACATGCAAAGTTACAAATGTTGGCAACAAGGTCCAGGATGCTGGGCAAGCCTGTTCTAGTGCAAGACATAGGTTTATAGAGCCCATTCTGGGCACCACCAATGTATTTTACATCACGTTTCAAACCGCATACCTTTCCGGTGGCTTGTCCACTCTGGTGGTAGCAGAAGTGGGGAAAGGAGAGGAAACATCTGCAGTGGGGCCTGATGTGCTTGGAGATTGTGGATTAAGCCACTGGGCCATAGATGATCGTGGCTGGCCTGGGCTAAGGATGGAGGTTGGAAGGACAAGGTTAATAGCATGAACACCACAGAACTCCATATGTACAACAACCCATTCTCAGAAGACCAGTTCCTGCATCTCTTCAGACTAGTAGGGACAAAGACTTCTCTATATCCTCCCAGGCCTTAGCCCAAAGTACCAACCATCCACCTAAAAGCCACAAACTGAAACCAGAGCGATCACAATATACTCCTGCAGATTTGTAGGGATGATTCCATCTCCTCTAACTTAGTACCATGTCTTTTCGCTATCATGTGCCTAAAATGGCTTGGATGCTTAAGATTTTTTTTCTCTTCCCTTGGAATTAGAGTCTGATAAACTCATCAAAACTTAAAATTACTATAAACCAAAAATGCATTTAATGCACCTAACCTACCACATATCTTAGCAATGTAGTACACCATACAGGATCTGTTGTTTCTCTTGAGATCCTATGGCTATCTAGGAGTTGGAGGTGAGGGCTACTCCCCAACACTGAGAAGGAAGACCATACCACTTACCAGCAGCCCAACAATCAGAATTCAAAGCATGGTTTCTTTTTTTTTTTTTTTTTTGGTGGAACCAGGGGTTGAACTCAGGCCCTCATGCTTGCCAGGGAAGCACTTATTCCACTGAGCCATCACCCCAGCCCCCAAAGCATGGTTTCTGTGGAATGAGTGTCACTCTGACATTTTCATAAAGTTGGAGAATCCTAGGTCAAACCATCCTAAACAGGGGACCATATGCACTCATTTCTTTTCTACCTAATAGGTGAATCACAGTAATCTTCAATCAAGTCTTTAGCCTATAACTGCCAAAGATCAACAGACAATATTTTGATATATAAAGCACTCTCAGTGGGGCATCTACGTGTGGAGACTCAGGAAAAAAAAAAAGGACATTAAGAGTTAGGATTCTTATAGGAAAAAAAGATTAAGAAATCACTAAACAGTAAACAATATAAGCACTCAGAACTTCCATGTTGAAAAAGATGATCAATAAAAGAATTCTGGAGGGGTCTATAAATACATAAATATGTGGTGATCTGAACTATTCTCCAACAACCTCAGACATGGAGCCCTGTGCCTATGGCAATTTCCTTCAAAAGTACAGTACAGAAAACTCTTCCATTTTGCAAAATCCTCACTCTGTCTCCTCAGGCTGGGAATCAAGCCTAGGGCCTGTGAGTGCTACACGAGTCCTCTATCACCAAGCTACACTGCCAGCCCGTTGACTGAGCTATTTTCAATACCACTGTATTTGATATTGCCATACCCAGATATTCTTTACCATAAATTCATCCTCTTCAGCATAAACCAGTTCCCATGAGAATTTCTTTGTCACTCTGCATTGCTAAGCACTCCATCCATCTCTGCCTCTTCTGTAGCAGAACCAATGCAGGGATTTGTCCATTTTTAATTGAACAGACTTTCTGGGCTACACCTTGCTACCTCTTCTCACCAGCAGAACATTCTACTGCCAGCATAGTCTTCTGACTATTCCTCAGCCCACTGTCCAAGGCTACCACACTGAGTGACCTCAGAGCAGTTCTACCATACTCAGTCTCCTGAGAGCCTCATGCCTCTCCTGCTACCATAGAAGCCTCCCTTCTAGCGCTGCCCCTCCCAGCCATGAGGCTGGCCCTCTCTGCTCTGGCTTCCTCCTCCTCTGCCTACACAAGATACTAGGTACCTCCAAAACCTTGTCTCACCCACACATGGGTGGGTAACTGGGACTAGGTACTCTCTGATGGTGTCAAGTATTTGTCTTGCCCTGTGGGAAGATCATATCCTTAATTCTTTCTGTAGCCTTCACTAAGACAGATGCAAGGCTAGGAACATGAAACTTTCACCCAACATGTACAAACCGATTCTGAAATTCAAAGATCACAATTGAATTGTGTGAAAGACTGCATTACTGACTTGGTACATAACTAATGTACAGATTTCTTAACCTATGCCCAGAAAAAAGGGGGAGAGAAAGAAAAAAAAAATCTATAAAGAACATATTTACAATTTCCCTATCCAGCCATTCATTTGGGAGTCATAAAACCTATTTCATCCTAAGCCAAGAAATCTATAAATCTTAAAGTGATCTGAATCAACAGCTACAAAAAGCATTCAATTCTTCAGCAGAAAATGAATCTTTAATGACATCTTACTGATCAGGAAGTCAAAGGAGAGGAAGGGATGAGTGAAGGCTGATAAGGAATTTAAGGCTATAGTTAAGCCAAATAATTGCCATGAAATCTCACAGCAATTATTCAAGGTGCTTCCAGGGTGGTGGCGGTGGGTGAGGAGATGTTGTACCACACCCCCATCAACTCTGTCTCACTGTGAGAAGACAAGAGATTAAGTGATGGCCAATATTTAGAGGGAGGACAGCTACAGGACAAAGATAAACAGTGGACTATTTCCAAGGTCTTTTAAAAATAAACATCATAAATTGTATAGCTGTTACCTACTTAATGCACCTTTATTTTAGAAAAATTCACTTTTTCTTCTTCAAGAGAAAACATCCCTTGGTTTTTAGAAAGTGAAAGATTTTTGGGACAAATACGTGCAGAATATAAGGTCTGTGTCTTTTCCCCAAACTAGGAAGTCAGAATTAGCAATCCCTGGCCAAGGTCAAATTCTTAAATTCTCCTGTTACATTTCTTTGCTTTCTGAGAACTATCTGTTCTTGTTCCTATACATACATACATTATGTGTAATCCAGCAGTCACTAATTTCCAAAATAAACTTTTAGATTTCTCAATTAAATTTCAATTTCAGTATCTGTTTTCTTAGCTTTTCTCGCAGCATCTCAGAAGCTTTGGACTTCAGAATCCCACATGGGCACAGAGGCTGTGTAAACTGCAGCATTCAAGTACAGTGCCAAAATGCAAGTGTAGAAACAGTCTTCATGGAAATGAAGGATAAATCTCACGGAGAACTGCAAGCTGTGTGAAAGAAGAGACCTGTACAGCTAAACAAGGTTTGGAAGTCAGAGTTCAGTAGCTGCCTAGACAGAAGGAACTGTTCACAACCTTATCCTCTGGAAAGAGCAAGGGTAAGGTCACAGTTGAGTATCCAAACATGCTCCGTTCACACCATTAATCAGTGTGTCTGTCAGCAAAGGGCAGAGGATAAGCATTTATAGGGGTCTCCCCAAAACAGGCTGTCCATGTGTCTTTGAGAGCCCCAAATGGTAAAGATCAGCTTCATTATCATAATCATGGTACTTTCTAGAATCTAGATAATTTTCCTAAAAGGAATAAAACATTTTAATATCTGTATTTCTCAAAAAGTAGAGGAGAATACTGGCCTTAAAAAGATTTTCTGATGTTTACCATATCTTTCTGTAATTTTTTTTTTTTAAAATCTTCTATTTCTTTATTTGCTACCTCAGACTTGTAGTGATCCTCCTGTCTCAGCCTCTCCCCCAGAGCGGGGGTTACAGTATAAGCCACCAAGCCCAGTTTGGGTGGCTGGCACGGAGCACCTAGGATTCCCAGGCAGGCAAAGCATGTGGTACTGGGGTTCAAACCCAGGACTTTGCGCTTGCCAGGCAGGTGTTTAGACTGCTGAACTATCTCCCCAGCCTATTTCCCACATTTCAAAGTAATGCTAACTAGGCTTTTCTTTATGGAATGCCAGCCCATTACACAGGTCTACCAGTTTTTCCTCAACAAGGGCTCCCTAATACATACACATATAGGAGAGGTTACCCTCCTCTCCTGTCTATCTAGAATGGTTCTATCCAATCCACCTATCAGGTAGGAGACCATTCTCCATGGGTATCTTGTGTTTCTGAACATATAGTGGACAAGAGATACCATACCACCCACATTTGTTTAATCTTTTCTTGAGGCTACTAGTAGGGCAAATGATCTTCACAGATAGAGGTTTTATCTCTCTGGACTGAAGCATTATCTTTACCCACCAGAAAAGATGTGGGTTTTCTGAGTCTAGGTTATTGTCCTGCAGCACCCCATAGGCAGCTGTTACCTGGCCCATACTGCCTCACTCTATGAGAAATGGGATCCTAGGAACAGATGTGAAAAAACACTGATATTTCCACTACTGTTACTACTGTGATTAGCAATGTCCTTTGGAGTCAACCAGGAATTCCGTATCTTCTGCCAATATCAAGTAGGTCCTGGTAGGTTGAGTACTTTGCATACAGGGTAAAATTACATAGTGTACATTGTTCTTGAGTGTCTCGTCCTTAAAAGATACTCAGATTGAGTGTCTTTGGGTTAAAGGGCAAAGATGACTGGATTTGAGAATGAAAATCTCAATACATGCTAAAGCATAAAATAATCTGAGTAATATTTTCTGTCAATTCTCAAATTTAAAGTGCTTTAAAAAATCGATTACCTCCTTCCCACTGTCCCTTCGAAGAGTTTCTGATGGGCAAGCCTACCATGAGCACAAACTACCAAATCTATTTAATGAAGAGCTACTGACTGTTTACACAAAGTACCTAAGGGCCACAAATTCCTCGAAAGCCAAGTTGTGGTATGCCAAAAATGAAGATGTCTACTCTCCCTCAAAAGCTCAGCAACCGCATTTACCAAAACAAAACTGAGTTAAAGAGAACACTAAAATTTTTGTGCCATCTTTCCATTCCAACACACTGAACTCAAAGTTTTCTCCTATGATGAGCTGGCTCCATTTTCCAAGAGCCAACATCATAAGAACATCTCAAGAAAAGAAGAACCAACAGAGACAAGAGCATTTCACTAAAAACACATCAAGACAGCAAACTGCTAACTCAGAAACACATTCCTGCAAATAGCAATACCTCTGTGAGACTGAGACAACCAGGAAATCTGCAGGACTAGAGGTCTAGGGGCAGTAGAGGGGGCAAAAGAGGAGTGAAGAAAGCTAACAGGCTAGAGATGGAAGATGCGCATGTGTAAATGGGGAGGGAACACTCTGCTATAATAAGAATCCACACCCCTGCTCTGGAAAAACAGGCAACTATCCAGGAAAGGCACTATTGGTTTTGCAGGGTGGT